ATATAAAGAATGGAAGATAAGAAAAAGGAGGAGAAAAAGAAAAGAACCTTTAGATTGTGTTTGTAATAGCATATTAAGTGAATTAAGTTAGACTCTTAAATAGTAAGAAAGTTAGCCTTGAACCTTTGGCATCCATGAATCTAAAGCCTGCAATGGCAAAAAGTACATACCTATCGATAATCACCCTAAATGTAAATGGACTCAATGCACCAAACAAAAGACATAAAGTCACTGAATGGATGAAAAGCCAAGACTTATACATATGCTGCCTACAAAAGACTCACTTTAAACCCAAAGACATACAAAGACTAAAAGTGAAGGGATGGAAAAAGATATTTCATACAACTAATAGGGAGAAAAAAGCAGGAGTTGTAATACTTGTAATCAGACAAAATAGACTTCACAACAAAGAAAGTCACATGAGACAAAGAAGACATTACATAATGAGTAAGGGGTCAATCCAACAAGAAGATATAACCATTATAAATATCAATGTGCCCAACACAGGAGCACCTACATATGTGAAACAAATACTAACAGAATTAAAAGGGGAAATAGAATGCAATGCATTCATCCTAGGAGACTTCAACACTCCACTCACTCTGAAGGACAGATCCACCAGACAGAAAATCAGTAAGGACACATTGGCACTGAACAACACATTACAACAGATGGACCTGACAGACATCTACAGAACTCTACACCCAAAAGCAGTAGAATAGAAACATTTTCAAGAATAGATCATATACTAGGCCACAAAAAGAGCCTTGGTAAACTCAAAAAGACTGAAATTGTACCAACCAGTTTCTCAGACCACAAAGATTTCATATCAAGAAATAAATTAGACAAAGAAAATGAAAAATCCCACAAACACATGGAGGCATCACAACATGCTCCTAAATAACAAATGGATCAATGACCAAATAAAAGCAGAGATCAAGCAATATATGGAGACAAGTGACAACAATAATTCAACACCACAAAATCCGTGGGGTGCAGCGAAGGCCGTGCTAAGAGGAAAGTATATTGCAATACAGGCCTTCCCTAGGAAGAAGAACAATACCATATGAACAGTCTAAACTTACAATTCCTGGAACTAGAAAAAGAAGAACAAATGAGGCCCAAAGTCAGTAGAAGGAGGGACATAATAAAGATTAGAGCAGAAATAATCAAATTGAGAAAAATAAAACAACAGAAAGAAACAATGAAAGCAAGAGTTGGTTCTTCGAGAAAATAAAATAGATAAATCCCTAGCCAGACTTACCAAGAATAAAAGAGTCTACACATATAAACAGAATCTGAAATGAGAAAGGAAAAATCACTATAGACACCACAGAAATACAAAGAATTATGAGAGAATATTATGAAAAATTATATACTAACAAACTGGATAACCTAGAAGAAATGGACAACTTTCTAGAAAAATACAACCTTACAAGGCTGACCAAGAAAGAAACAGAAAATCTGAATAGACCAATTACCACCTAGGAAATTTAATTGGTAATCAAAAAACCTACCTAAGAATAAAATCCCTGGATGAGATGGCTTCATCGTTGAATTTTATCAAGCATTTAGTGAAGACCTAATACCCACCTTCCTTAAAGTTTTCCAAAGAGTAGAAGAGGAAATATTTCCAAACTCATTCTATGAGGCCAGCAGGCAAACACACCACAAAAAAGAAAATTACAGACCAATATCCCTGATGAGCATAGATGCAAAAATACTCAACAAAATATTAGCAAACCAAATTCAAAAACACATCAAAAAGATCATCCATCATGATCAAGTAGTATTTATTCAAGGGATGCAAGGATGGTACAATATTCAAAAATCCATCAACATCATCTAATACATCAACAAAACGAAGGACAAAAACCACATGATCATCTCCACAGATGCTGAAAAAGCATTTGACAAAATTCAACATCCATTCATGATAAAAACTCTCAACAAAATGGGTATAAATGACAAGTACCTTAACATAATAAAGGCCATATATGACAAACCTACAGCCAACATTATACTTAACAGCAAGAAACTGAAAGCTTTTCCTTTAAGATCAGGAACAAGACAAGGATGCCCACTCTCCCCAATTATATTCAATACTCCTCCATTCAGTATTGGAGGTACTAGCCACAGCAATCAGACAGCACAAAGAAATAAAAGGCATCCAGGTTGGCAAAGAAGAAGTTAAACTGCCCCTGTTTGCAGATGACATGATATTGTACATAAAAAAAAACTAAAGAATCCACTCCAAAACTACTAGATATAATATATGAATTCAGCAAAGTTGTGGGATACAAAATTAATACACAGAAATCTGTTGCATTCCTATAAACTAATGATGAACTAGCAGAAAGAGAAATTAGGAAAACAATTCCATTCAAAATTACATCAAAAAGAATAAAATACCTAGAAATAAACCTAATGAAGGAAGTGAAAGACCTATACTCCAAAAACTACAAGACACTCATGAGAGAAATTAAAGAAGATACCAATAAATGGAAACACATCCCATGCTCATGGATAGGAAGAATTAATCTTTTCAAAATGGCCATCCTGCCTAAAGCAATCTACAGATTCAATGCAATCCCTATCAAAATACCAAAAGCATTCTTCAAAGAACTAGAGCAAATTGTTGTAAAATTCATATGGAACCCCAAAAGATCCTGAATAGCTAAAGCAATCCTGAGAAGGAAGAATAAAGCTGGAGGGATTATGCCCCCCAACTTCAGGCTCTACTACAAAGCCACAGTAATCAAGGCAATTCAGTATTGGCACAAGAACAGAACCATACACCAATGGAATGGACTAGAGAGCCCTGATGTAAACCCAACCACATATGGTCAATTAATATATGATAAAGGAGCCATGGCCATATAATGGGGAAATGACAGCCTTTTCAACAGTTGTTGGCAAAACTGGACAGCTACATGCAAGAGAATGAAACTGGATTATTGTTTTAAACTTGAAATGGATCAAAGACCTGAATGTAAGTCATGAAACCATAAAACTCTTAGAAGACAACATAGGCAAAAATCTCCTGAATATAAGCATGAGCAACTTCTTCATGTAAGCATCTCCTCGAGCAAGAGAAACAAAAGCAAAAATGAACACATGGGACTACATCAAACTAAAAAGCTTCTGTATGGCAAAAGACACCATCAGCAGAACAAAAAGTCATCCTACAGTATGGGAGAGTATATTTGTAAATGACATATCTCACAAGGGGTTAACATCCAAAATATATAAGGAACTCATATGTCTCAACACCCAAAAAGCAAATAACCCAATTTAAAAATGGGCAGAGGATCTGAAGAGACAATTCTCCAAAGAAGAAATTCAGATGGCTGACAGACACATGAAAAGATGCTCCACATCACTAATCATCAGGGAAATGCAAATTAAAACCACAGTGAGATATCACTTCACACCAGTAAGGATGGCCAGCATCGAGAAGACTAAGAACAACAAATGCTGGTGAGGATGTGGAGAAAGAGGAACCCTCCTACACTGCTGGTGAAAATGTAAGCTAGTTCAACCATTGTGGAAAGCAATATGAAGGTTTCTCAAAAAACTAAAAATAGAAATACCATTTGACCCTTTGGAATTTACCCACTCCTTGGAATTTACCCAAAGAATACAACTTCTCAGACTCAAAAAGACATATGCATCCCTATGTTTATTGCAGCACTATTTACAATAACCAAGATATGGAAGTAACCTAAGTGTCCATCAGTAGATGAATGGATAAAGAAGATGTGGTACATATATACAATGGAATACTATTCAGCCATAAGAAAGAAACAAATCCTACCATTTGCAACAACTTGGATGGAGTTGGAAGATATTATGCTCAGTGAAATAAGCCAGGTGGAGAAAGACAAGTGCCAAATGATTTCCCTCATTTGTGGAGTATAATAACAAAGCAAAACCGAAGGAACAAAATAGCAGCAGACTTACAGACTCCAAGAAGGGACTAGTGGTTACCAAAGGGGGTGGGGCACTGGTCGGGAGGGAGATGGCGATTGAGGGGTGTTATGTTTAGTACACACGGTGTGAGGGGTCACGGAGAAAACAGTGTAGCACAGAGTAGGCCAATAGTGAATCTGTGGCATCTTACTACAGTGACGGACAGTGACTGTATTGGGGTATGGGTGAGGACTTGATAATACAGGTAAATGTAGTAACCACATTGTTTTTTCATGTGAAACCTTTATAAGAGTATATATCAATAATACCTTAATAAAAATTTAAAAAAAGAAATTCTCCAGCACTCTCCACGCATGCTTTAGGTGACTTTCATCCTATACAAACTGGTGAGACTGAAAAAAATTCTCAAAGGCAACATAGTTCATCAGCCCATTGTCAAAACGGTCTTTCAGATATTATGTGCTTTTTTTCTACACATAGATTATAATTTGCTTCCCACAAATACAGACCTATCTTGGCCTTTCATGCATCAAGGTTCAGTCTTGACCTGTACCCCCAGCTGAATCCAGGGATCACTAAAACTGTGAAGGTAGAACTTACTACAGTGTTTTTTTGGTTTATGCTTTTGTTTTTGGTTTTATTTTGTCAGAAACTTAAACACCTTTCATTGGGAAGTAAGACCTTTTTGAAAGCTGTCACACAAGTGAAGACCAAGTAGGATGGCTAAGCCTCCCAGTCTCACAGGACCGGAAGCTCACCTACCACTGGGATCAGTGGCAGGTGATAGCCAGCGAGCACCTTAACAGTTGACAGCTGCGATGCTGTTTCTTCCTCAGCTTCCTGTACTGGTCACTGAGCTGCAGTTACAAGGTGAGGGGGAATTCACTATCAAGAACTGAGTAAAACTAAACCTGCCCCACCACTGCTCCCAGGTACCATTAGTGTATTCTTTTTCAGGAGAGTTCAAAGATATGTGAATACACATATTCCTGCATTTAAATAGGAAAAGTATCACATCTTTATAAATTCTGAGTCTGCTTTTTTTTTCAGGTTTATGAAATGAAGACACAGAAAACTGTACAATGAGGAGTCTTCAATTGGGAAAGAGGTGAAGTCAGAAGTCAGATCAGGAAGAAATCAGCCTGAATCTACCGATCCCTGCTGTTCCGGGTCATGCAAGCAGATTTAAGCTAGTCCTATGAACAGCAAGTCCAGGCTGAAAGTGGCTACTTGGAAGGACTAAAGTCTCCACTATATTACAAAACTCCTAACTTACCTCTGATTCTGCAGTTCACAGTCTGGACAGTTCAAGGTTTCACACGATGCCTTTCCTCCATTGTCCCCTATGTCACTCCTTTTCAGGCTGAGATGCATCAGATTCTGGTTGTGAATCAAAGCTAGAGATGTTCTGACAACTATTAGGGAAAGAAAGAAATTGCAATCTTCAGAAGAAAAATATTCAGGAGGGGTTACAAAATCATCTCTGTCCCTGGTTACAGCATCCCTTTCTTTGCAAACCCAACTTTTAGGTATTATCCAATATTACTGCCATCTATTATCATACTCCGGGTTTCTTACATCTCAGGTCTGATCATAAATACAAGGTTCAGGACTTTGCTTAGAAAAACAATCTGGGTTGCTCAATGCCCATTACGTCCTGACAACTGATACTCTCAACTTCATTTGACCTTGAAGGACAAGAAGGTGATAACATCAGGAAAAGCAGAAGAGGAGTTTTGAACTCTTAATCCAGGAATGACTCCCAAAAATTATTGGAGCTATTCAAATACAGCAATTACAACATCAATTCACAATATTTAACCTTTTAAATTATCCAACGTGAGTTCACAGTTAATATCAACTGTTTGGTGTGCATAAATAGCAAAACATATTATTGTAAAATATGCCCTGTCATCTCGTGGACTTTGTTAGGTATATAGGGACAGTCCAAAGCAAAATGTGAAGGAAGTTAAACCTGCCTGTTCTTCCTATTTTCCATCCCCCAACTCAGTCCGTTAGTTATATGTTTCTCCTACAGTGCCTCTGCCAGCCCCAGATGTTCAGCAAGTTCACACTATTCACTGTTTGAAACCTCCCTGTGTGTATCAATTGCCCTCCCTTCTGCCCAACACCTTCCTACCCTTCACCCTCACCCCCTTTCCAGCCAAGCACAGGAAAATAAAGGCTTTACTCATTCAGGGCACTAACTGATATCACCTAGTGAAAGAGCATGATGTGCTCATTCTTTGAGAAATGGCCACCTGCTTCTTCAGAGTGGTTGTACCGTTTTATAATCCCACCAGCAATACAGGAAAGTTCTAGCTACTCCTCATCCCTGTCAACATTTGCCACTTCAGTATTTATTATATCTTAATTTGACTCTAGATACTCTATCCCTTTCTTACATGTGCTTGTTTACAGGTTTCTTTCCCTCTTGTCTACTGGCTTTACCAGAAGCTGGAAATGATCCTATTAATTCTGTATTCAGTGCCCATCAATGTGCTCAAGGCCTTATTGGTGCTCAGTCATATGTACTGAATGATGAACAAATGTTAGATACTTGTTTCCTTGGGCACTGAAGATTAATGTTCTTTTTTGGGAGGAAGACAGGCTTTCCCCTAATTACTTCCCTTAGTGTTTTAAGTGAAATCTGACTTCAGATTTCAAATAACTGGATTACGTCTGGCCTTGCCTATAGATGTGGGAGGTGATTACACATACCTTATAATTAAGGGGTTTCTAGAAGTCCTTTTTGCTCACCCCAAGCATCTTCCAGAACTTTCCCTGAACTAACCATCACCAATCCATAGCCTACAGAGGCTTCTTCTTTTAGAACACAAGGGTCCACTGGCAGGATGACACCATGAAAGCAGCTTAGTCTTCCCACCTCCATGGGGCCTTTCTTACTCAAGTCCCTTTTCCTATCAAGTGAGACTGTACCCTGAACTTAAAGTTTAAAAACATTTTGTTGAGCCAAACAAGATGATTCATATAGTGATTTTTTGTGTTCAATCTAAATTATTTCCAAGAATAGAAAAGGCTAATCCATAGTGACAGAGGTTAGGAAGTGGGTGCCTTTGGGACTGGACCACATTGAAAGTGGTACAAGGAAACTGAGGAGATGGAATTATTTTCTATCTTGGTATTGGTTACAAAGGTGTATGCAGCTGTCAAAACTCAACGAACTGAACACCTAGTATCTGCATTTACTGAATGTAAATTATTCCAGAATAGAAAAAATAGTATGTTCCAGAACCTATCTTTGAAAATGCTTTGTTGACCTGCCTAGAATGCCTTAGTTCTGTATTCTTCTAGAAAATTCCTAATCAACAAACCAAAAATCCCTGTCAACAGCTACCACACTCTGTACAGCCCTAGAGGTTTCCACTGTTCACATCCTGAGTGCATTTTACCCAGTGTATTGTATGTATTTGTTTACTGTTTGTTTTCCCTAACAAGTAGGAGTGGGAAGTGTGGCAAAAAGAAAATATAACAATTCTGTTAAACTTTCTCATGCCACACTTAAAAAAAACAGCTTTTGTAGTTTATAATTTGGGTGTCTTTGTTCTTGATAGAAAGTCTTCATTGATAATTCATCTAGGTTGCTAAGACAGAGGTCCAACTCTCTCTCAAGTGCTCATTTGTATGAAGTACAGAACAGAGATCTTGCCAGCAACAAGTAATGCAGCCACCATCCCTTTGCCTAAATGGGGAAAAGAAAAAACCAATAAATCCATTTCAGTCCAGGTGACTCTCAGAAGATGGTACTGGGTAAAAAGCAGCTGGACTTTGTTAATGGAGCATCCTCTGTAGGTCTGGCATGGGCATAGTCCACCAGGAAGTCTTCCTATTGGCACTTCAGAGGCTTTATTTGCCCAATGGATCCCTCCCACCCCAACACAACATACTCTTTCAACACACAAAAGTAAAACTATAGAGACTTCACTTTGGAGGAAGAGACTTGGAAAGATAAAAGAAAAGTCTTCAAATACCTGAAGAGCCAAAATCAAGAGGAAAAATAATATATGACCACAAAGAGTAAGATAAGAAGTGATGGGTAGACATCAGGGGACTGTGGTGTAGTGTAAGAATCTGGGCTTTGAGCCCCAGTTCTACCACTTGCTAGGTATCTTACTTACTGCAAGTCACATTGATTTTATGAGTTCTCAGTGTTCTTCATTTATGAAGTGGAAATGCCATCTCCCTTCACAGGGTTGTGAGGATTTAACAGTCAACTTGATTGGGTACACAAGAGAACTTTGTAATTTTTAAATATTGTATAATTTAATTATTAGTCACACCATCAATAGACTCATTATAAAGAAATAAGGGGTAATAAGGAATAGAACAGAGGACAGCATCATGATTTTAAGCATAAGATCTAGAACCAGAGCAGTCCCAAGTCCCAACTCTGCCATCACTAAACTGGGAGATTCTGGCAACATTACTAACCTATGCGAGCCTTAGCTTCATCATCTTCAAAGATGAAAATAACAGTATCTATTTCTTGGGATTACTGTGAAGATTCAGTAATATCATCTATAGAAAATGCTTAGCAAATGCTTTCCATTGTAAATTCTCCTAACAATTGGTAGCTGCTATTATTTATATTAAGATATAAAAGTCTAGCATGTTGCCTTATACATAATAACTACTGTAGCAGGGGAGAAAATAATCTTGTTCTCTTTGCCCTCCTAGGTGTTTTGACTGGGACCCTGTAAATTAGACTGACAAGAGACAGATTAACAAGTGAAAAGCATACACACTGTATTAGCCCATCCATTTCAGATACACATGGGAGAAACTCAGTTATGAGTAGCACAAAGGGGTATTTTGAATTTGGGTCTATATCCCTAACCTAATAGCGGAAAGGCAAGAGAAAGTGCACTTAAAAACAAACAGCTTTTTGGAAAGATAAATGCACCCTTAGGAGAACAGATGGGAGACATGAAGGTCTGTGACAGTGTCTGTCTCGGTATGGTATTCCCAGGGAGGGGGTTCATGACAGGTGATTTCTTTGGGAGGCTCCGCTTTTAGGCAGAGAGGAGGTTTTTGGAACTGAAAATAATTCTTAGGTAAAAGTGGCACATTTTGGAGTGGCATACCCTGATCCCTTTCACAACTTAATCAATATTGTTTGGCCCCCTCCAAACCTTAAACTGGAATGAATGACATTACAGATTGCTGGTCTCTACATCACCTGAAGTCTTACATTTCATAAAAGTAGGCAATGAATCATTCATTCAAACATTTAAGTGCTCACTACATACAAATACAATGGATATAATGGTGAACAAGACAGTCACAGATCCAGCTAAGTTTACAATGTAGTTATGTTGTAAAAGGGACCGAGGTCATCTGTAATGTCCCTTTTAAAATACTGGTTTCTTAGGCTCTTATGTGAGCAACCACGACATCTCTAGTATTAGGTAACACTACAACATAGGCAAGGAGAAGGTAGCACAAAGACCAGCAATATACCAGGCAGAATGCCTTCCTAACATTTATTATTAGGTATAAAATACACTCTAGTGCCCTAGGTTAAATCACATCTTCTTTAAGTAGAATTCTGCAGTCAAAATTTTAAAAACTAAGTGAATCAGATTACTTACAACTCCCCAAGGACAGGAAAGGTTATAGCCACCCAGCCTACAATCCCTACTCCCACAGTGCAGAGAGAAATGAAATGTACGTTCCTGTAAGAGGAATGCTTCTGAAATTGTGGTAATGGCGAGGGGACAACTTGGGGAAAGCTGGAAAACCAAGCACTTATAATCAGATGTGTGACCTCAGCCAACTTATACATGGAAGTATTAAGAAGGTATTTTTTTAAGTAAGTAAAATGGAAATAATAGCATCTACCTGGGATAGTTAGGTGACTAAATGAGTTGGGACTAAGGCTATAGGTAAATATTAGCTATTATTTGAAGTGTGCTTGAATCAATAATTGTACATTACTTTCTAGTCCATTTCTCTGAATCTCAGTTTTATAATCTTAAAAATAACTTGATATGGTTTTGACCAGCATCAAATTGGATAATATGCTAAATATCCTGTGCACTGTATAACTACACCACATAGTAAGCCCTCAATTAGATGTTAGTTAAGTCTAGACCTAATGTCTAGGCAATGAGGACAGTGAGCTAGGTCAGTAATTACAGTGGAACACAGAACAGAGAGATGACCTATGTACACCAGGTTCAGCAAGAAACTCCTGGGCCTTTATTCTTCTGGAAGGCATTCTTTTTAAAAATTAAATACACATGCTATAGTAAATACAATTTTGCACTAAGCCAAATCCCTCCTTGAGGTCTGAAGGTTATTCGTAGTTGTTGGGAATACTGACAGCTAACTCCCTTCTCCTGATAGCCCTCAGGCCAAGAGACCCACTTCAGGCAACTTTTTCCCCATTCCTCACCAGTAGCCCTGACTGGCCTCTTTGCCTCAAGGTGGAGCAACTCTGAAGGGTCACCCTGGCTCTGGGAGCTCCCAGGTGAAATTTACTTCCCTCACTCCCCCAAAAGGCACTTCCAGGGAACTGACCTAACACACTTAACCATGCTTCAGCTGGAGAGTGTGAGGTCATCTTCTCAGATATCACAGTTACAGTTTTATGGTCCATAAATCCTGGCAGTGCTTAAGGCAGAATGAAGACACAAGCAAATGGAGTTTCCACGAATATTAACAGCAACCGTTTGGAAATATCTCATTGCCTGACTTATACATGTGTAATCTTGAGTCTCATGTGGACAGTGGAACAACTCCAGAAATCCCAGCTGTGATGAAAAATAGTCAGTTTCCTAATGGTTCCATCCACTGATGTTCCATTTTATATCCAGTGGCATTTTATCATTAAAAGTTTTTCCAGTTGTTTTACTTGATCTTCATTCAAAAGGCCAAACACAGTAATTCCACTCCTAGGAATTTACCCTAAGAAAACACGATCCCAGATTCAAAAAGACGCCCCTATGTTTATCACAGCACTATTTACAATAGCCAAGATATGGTAGCAACCTAAGTGTCCATCAGTAGATGAATGGATAAAGAAGATGTGGTACATATACACAATGGAATATTATTCAGCCATAGGAAGAAAACAAATGCTACCATTTGCAACAACATGGATGGAGCTAGAGGGTATTATGTTCAGTGAAATAAGCCAGGTAGAGAAAGAGAAGTATCAAATGATTTCACTCATATGTGGAGTATAAGAACAAAGAAAAAACTGAAGGAACAAAACAGCAGCAGACTCACAAACTCCAAGAAGGGACTAGCAGTTACCAAAGGAAAAACAGAGGGGGAGGGCAGGTGGGAAGGGAGGGAGAAGGGGATTAAGGAGCATTAGGATCAGCACACATAGTGTAGAGTGGGCATGGGGAAGGCAGTATAGCACAAAGACAAGTAGTGACTCTGTAACATCTTACTAAGCTGACAAACAGTGACTGCAGTGGGCTTGGAGGTGGGGGCCAGAATTGATAATACGGGTAAATGTAGTAACCACGATGTTGCCCATGTGAAACCTTCATAAGAGCGTATATCAATGATACCTTAATTAAAAAAGAAAGGCCAAAGAACATTTCATCTGTGTCACATGGCGATCTTTATAACCAACTGTTGCTTTCAAGTAACAGCTTCAAGCCTTGTAAAGACTGAAAGGAATGGTCCTTGGTTCCCCAACTGCCTTTCAACATATAGAACACAGCTGCAAAGAACTCCTGAATGTGGAGGTGGGTAAACACATTGCAGTTCTCATACTGCACATCCTGCTGAAGAATACTCATGTCCAGGGAAACTGAGACATCAGATTTAGTTAACCCATGCTTTCTGAGATTTTTCCCTGTAAAACACTTGTCATAGTCTAAACTCCTTTGGCAGCCAAGTGGCACAGGCTCCTCAGTTGACTTGACTGGGTAAACTAGGAGTTTCCATCTTCTGGTGTGAGCAAGCTAGAGATACAGCAGGTAAACAGAGCTTTGGTGGCTTTGCAGGTTAATGTGAGATCACCATCCTTCTCCATTTGTTGCTCCAGACAAGGACAAATGACCAGCACACTATGGGGACTTCATGCATGGCAAAAAGAATCTCATTACTTTTCAGTGTACTGAATACTTCTGGCCCACTTCTTTTCTTCAAAAAACTGGTAAGTATACTCCTCTCTTGCATCCTTAGACACACCCAGTAGCTCTATATACAGAATGCGGATTCTTCAACAAAGGCTTTAGTTTCTTACAAGCTGTGAGCCTTGTGGTCACCAATAAGAACAACTCGGAGCACCATGTGCCTCAGCCAGCTCCTCATGAGGAACGACACTGGGTACACCTGGGTTCCAGTTTTCACACAGTATCAATTCCAGTTCCTCAAATGCAAAGTTCAGTTCATCGAAACTATCGATAATAAAAAGGAGACTGCTCCGTGGGGACGTGATCCTTTCAATGTTGCCTTCTGTGCTGGGCCAGTCCTTTGATATCATGTGCACCAAGCTGCTCTCAGCAGAGATTTATCTCATGCAGAGATAAAAACCCTCAGTAAACCTCTGCTGACAGAGACTGCCCGGTGCCCAATCCATCAATGCCTTTCTCACCAAGGGCGTTTTCCCAGCTCTAGCAGCCCCCTGCAGCACCACTGCCTCGGGCTCTCCGGGTTCCGACATCGACATCAAACAAACGCTCCAACAGTTCTCCATCTTCCTGAGCAAATCTATAGAGGAACTCTTCAGGTTCTCCAAGCAAACCCTTCTTACCCATGGCATGCAAACCCTCTTCTCTATTTGAATTCTGTATTCCATTCCATCACCCAAGTCAGAATGGAGCAGGAAAGAAAGAGACACATGATCAAAACAAACTCTGTGACTCTCAGTGTTAAGAATGTGGGACTTGGAGCTAGGAGCAAGGTATCAAGGGGAAGCTGGGTTAGATTGAGAATGTAAATAAAATAAAAATATCCCTATAGATTTAAAACTTGCATTAGAACCTGAAAAAAAAAAACTGACCATGCAGAAAAATGAATTTAGAATGGGAAATAAAACTGAAATTTGCTCTAGAAATATTTTCTCTTGTCTTTTCCTCTACAGAAAAAAAAGATGATACATGTAGAGAACATAGTCGTCATCCAGATGAAAAAAGAACACAAGCAACAATCCACAGTAGCAGCCAGGGAAGATCTGAAGACAGATCTGAATCTACACACCAAAATAATCCACTTTATCATAAAACATTAACAGAAATGAACACTGAAAGCCTGAACAATGTTTTAAAGAAAAAAAATATTCCCAAGTGTCCAAATAAAATGAAAATACAGCTTCATCTTTACCTAGTTATGTCCAATTCCTCTTTCGGATCTCAATTTAAACATCACCAGCTCAGGGAAGCCTTCTCTGAATCCCACTGCTAGAACAGTTCTCTTTTCTGTATTTTCAAAACACAATATATTTTTCATTCACAGTGCATATCACAAGATGCAATTTATTTAATTTTTAAACTAAATAATTATTTTCTTTGTTCTACTAAGGCATTTGGTACAAACATCTAACACAGTTCATATCCCACTAAATTATGCTTAGTCCTTTCCCAGGAGAAGGTATGGTATTATAGAGGTACTCTTTCTTTTTATTGTGTAATACCTCGTACAGTCTTGCACCATATAAATAGGTGATTACATGGGGGAAGCAAGGGCATGTCTGGACTAGAGAGGTTGGGTTGGGTCCCTTTTTGCAGTCAGGTCACAGGAGACACAGGCGAGAAGTGGATGACTGCTTGTAGGCAATAAATGGGTTTCTCTCATTTTATTTCTCCCTTTGACTGATTTTGTTTTTAAAGGTAATTTGCTCAGGGCTGGGAAAATATTTCCCTCTGGAGAAACAAAGACTTAGAAGAAAATTGGGATTATAAGGACAATTTTTACTTTCTTCATTATACCTTAATCTATCTTGCAAATTTTCTGACAGTTAATTTCCCTAAGTTTCCTAAATTTATGGCCAGTTATACCACAAAAATAAACTTTCTTAAATTGAATCATAAATTAAGGTAAAAGTGGGAAGTTATCTTCAAGATCACTTAATACAATGAGCAATTTTTATTTATTTGTACTTGGAATGAAGTAGGTTCTCATTTCTTGAATGAAATAATGTGGCCCATTAGAAAGCAGCATAACTGGGTTAAGAATACCAGTTTCTCACCTGGTCCAGTTTTTTTCCCATTGTTCCATTTATATAAGCTGAAATTCAACTACATAGAATTCAAAAAACAAAGTAGGGGAAATGGAAATCATATTGGACTAAGATCGAGAACTGGTTCTAGAAATTACATGTTATATGGATCAGATGGTAGCCACCCAAGGAACTCAGTCAGAGCATCATTTCTAAACCAGCTGCCCTTTGCATTTCTAAAGGGAGGGAACAGATATGACCCAAAGAGACCCTCCAGTACAGGAACTCTGCAGCCGTAAAACAAGACGTGAATAACCTTTGTTCATCAGACTGTCAACTTTTGACTGCACATGTCCAAAATGCTGCTCTCTTAAGGCATTGAATTAACATGGCCCTGATTCTGAATTTGGCCAGAAAGCCAGTTTTGTTGACGCTTTTTGAATGATAATCAATGAACAGGTAGGACATTAGAAGAAGTTGACAAGAGTTGAACAAAGGTCTCCTGGGAGACAAACCCCCATATGCTTCAAAATCTCAAACTGCTCCCATCTACACACCCAGCCCTGCCTCCTGATCACCATGTTCCCCTTGGGCCCTGGCATCCTCTGGTTCTGTGGCCTGGGCTGTCCCTGCAACAGGTGCCAACACCATCATGAGTTTACCAAAATTAAGAAGACCTTTGGTGATGGTCAGAACGGGGGCCAGAATTCACAATGGTCCAATTCCATGACCATTTGGATTTAGCAAAACTAGAGCCAACAGAATCCTAGACTCCATGGCTTAGCTGATGGAGAAGAGATGTGGTGTGAACAACACTGAAGTGGGAGACTCTTGCCATACACCCACCGTATAACTCTGGGGCAAGTGGTCTAGTCTAAACCTAAGTATTTTAGATGTCTACAATATATCATACTTGGGAATGACTAAAAATACTGGTTTAGCTTATGCCCTAAGTTATTTTTTACCCATTCCTCATATTTCAGCAGAGATTTGAAATCATACTTGAAATTCCTTAAAATTAGCCTAACCAACAACTTTATTTACAATTTTGGCAAATAAACACTAGATAGGACAATTCTTTTCATCCAATCCTTTAATCATTCTAATTGGTACAAGATGGATGAATCCCCTACCCCCTTACAGAGCCAGGCTGAGTACCAGAACCAATACCCTCCTGTCTCTTCAGTGTTCCTCGAATGATCTACAAGCTCCTGATATACTTGGCCACCATGGAAGCTGTGTTCCATAGGAAGAGTGGTTTAATCCTCCAGTCCCTTTCAGAGACTCATTCCAATGGGCCTCAGGAAGACCTTCCTTCTCCTACCCTCAGTTATGTCCCTAGCATCACTCGCAGTTGACACCTGCTTTGGCTCTCAACATAGATCCTTTGGGTTCATCTTGCCAAAGATTTTGAGCTACATCCAAGGCCTGCTTTCCTGGATAACACTTATTCATCACATTAGCCAGATCCTCCCACTTGGCCTTCCTCACTTCAGCCCAGGGTATCTAGCAGGACCTGGGTTCCATGGTCTCATTCTTCAGAAGTAACTTGAATTTAATTCCTCCTTGTTTAGCTATTCCAGATATAATAGCAGACCAAAATCAGAAAGGAAGGAAGATGATGTATCTGCCATCTCGTCCACAGATCAATATTCAGGCTTCAGTGGGGGAAAACAATCCAAAGGGCAAGAAATAAATGGGACCTATAGAAATTATATATATATATATATATATATCAACTCTACTTCAAAAACAAAGGAAAAGGAAATACCTATAAAAATATAGATTAACTCAACAAATATGTGTGGAGTTCACTATAACAGGCTCAGTACTGACCTAGTGTCCTCTGTAATACATTTTCTGACATTAAAAAATCCCTCTACTATAGATCCCTGTGTATTTCTTCCACCTTCCCAAAAGTTACTTCCAGTCCCACCACTTAAGAGTCATAAGAAATAATGGAAGGCAGTTCATATATCTGAGCTAAAGTTTACTCTTCTGCAAAGTGAGGAAGCCAGAACTAAGCCATGGATTAAATGAGGTGGACTTCATATATCACCTGGCACAGAACAGGTTCCCACTAAGTTTTGACAACTCTCCTCATCGTTTCTCTCCCCCACCAACACCCAACATATATCTCAGCCTATAAAACATTGTTACTGTGCCCCCACCAACTTATTATTGCTCTTAAAGTACACGCAACTGTAATATATCACTATCTACCTCTTCTTGTCATGTCATCTCTAGTCACAAAGGGTCTGCATTCACAAGTTCTTTTCACATCCACTCCCGACACCACAATTATTCTTGGTGAATTCATTGTAAAGCCCACGTGATTGGCCTTCTCTCACACCATCCTTGACCTTTGCTCCCATGACCTTATTTCATTCCAGCATCTCACTCAATGCTCTCACTCCAGACTCTGTCAACAGCAATTACTAAAACTCAAACTCTTAACTGCAGACTCCCATAACCCATTCTTTACTAATACCTCCCAGTTAATTCACTATTTATGCCCCCATGCCCACTCTGACAGCTCTTCAAACACTATCAAATCCTTGTCTTTTGAGCCTTGTGTGTTTTCCTCTTATTTATCAGGCATCTTCAGAGCCTGATTCAATTTTTTATTCAGCACAGGCACTCCAATTAATCACTTAAACCGTACCTTCAAGTTCCTCATCTCTTCAGCGGTGATTTGCCTGAACAGACAGCCCTAGTGAGGGGTGCAGCTGAAACTCCATCTGGCTTTCTCAAGCCCTCTCCTCTTCCCCATCCTTCACAATGCCTCCCCCTCTTCTTGATAATGGGATTGGAAAAGTTGGATGGGGAAAATAAAAATTCACAGATGGCGATTTTACTTCTTAAACATAAAGTTAATGATTTTAAAATTACGTGGTAAATCGGGATTTTATCCTACAGTAATTGGTGAGCTATCAGTTTTAGGGTTTGTTTTTTGTTTAACTGCACTGGAGGGATATTCCAGATTAGATTTTAGGCTATGACCAAAATATTCCATAGTAATTATTTTTAAAGCAGCATAAAGGGGCAAATTTCAGGAAACTTCAAAGGAACACTGAAATTTCTCCAGAACATAGACTATGGTAGGTGAGGGAAAATGAAGCATAGCACACAACACCCTCAACTTCCTGCTTGGAAATTTATAGATATTGCTGCATGTGGGCCAATTGTTGTCTTCCTCTTTACTGTCCCAAAAGAAGGGGGCTCTCTCCCCTTTTGTATAGCTCATCTCTCCACCTGTGATCTGAATTTCATCGGCAACCAACTACTAAGGGACTAATTCATTAGAGATGTCTCTTCTCCACCTTCAACTTCTCCCTTTCCTGTAAGCCCTTCTCATTAAGATTTAAACATGCCCACATCGACTTTAGTCTTTTATAAGTGTTTCCCTTCATCTTTATAGTCAAACCTCTTCAGAAACTTATTCTATACCTTACCTATATACCCAGGAAAACACTAGTGAAATCTGAATTGTGATTTGGTTAAGCATCTTACTGCCTTAGTTGTAACACAATATATTAAAATAAGGGAAATGGGGTAAGTGGAGTACTGAGAACTCAAACTATTTTAAAATAAAATGGTTATTTTTTTAAACTGGAGATACACACACCCTATGGCCTAGCAATTACAGTCCTCAGAATATATGCAACAGAAATATGTGTGCAGGTATACCAAGAGATATACAAGAACAGCCACAGCAGCATCGTTTGTAATTCCTAAGCACTGAAAAAGATCCAAGGGTCCACCTATGGTACAAACAGTAAATAAACTGTGGTAAATTCATACTATGAAGTCCTATATAGCAATGAAAATCTATGATCTGCAGCTAAGTGCCACTAGGATCAATCTAACACAAGCAAAAGAAGCCAAACCTAAAAGGAATTTGTACTATATGTTTCCATTTATAAAGATCAAAACCAATAAACAGAAAACTAAACTGTACTGTTTATGTATGCATGTATAGGTGGTAAAGCGAAAACTTTTTTAACAAGCTAGAGGTAAAGTAGTACACTACCTATAAAAGTCGGTTCATTGTCAGCTCTTCAGGGTGGAAGCCTCTGTGATCAGGGGGATGCTCCTAGGGCTCTAGAACACTGGTAATATTTTTTCCTTGACTGCTTAGGGTTCACATGGATGACACTTTGTTCTTCATTCATTAAGCTGCACATTTATGTTTAATGCATTCCTATATGAAGTGTAGTTCATATGGTTTTAAGAAGGTTCACAGCACCAGAAGGATAATACAAATAGATTAGGAAAACACTAAAAGCAAATTCTTGCTAATAAACTATTCACAGAGTGGGAAGAAAAGGCAAACTGCTTACTAGTATTTCAGAAAATGATCAGACTTAAGCAGACAAAGATCTAATACAAACAAGGTGATACCACTTTAAATTATCAAAACAGCAAAAATAAGCTTAAAAATACCCTATGAGGATGAGAATGGAATGGACAGATATTGTTAGTATAAATGTTAATTGCTACACTCTTTCAAAGCTGCATGTCTGCAACTCTGAGGAACTTTAAAACCAGGCATAACTTTTCATGCAGTAACCTTTCTCTGGGAAATTATCCAATGTAAAGAATCCCAAATTCGGAAAAGGAAGTTCAGTGCATGAAGGTGTTGTGGGGAAGTTGGGGTTCCTATGGCCAGGATCCTCACTGAACTTAAACCGCTTGATGATGTAACTGGCTCATTGCTAGGCTACCGCTTCCACACCTTTAGGCAATAAGCTATTATTGCACTATATAGAGAGCTCGGCCCAGTGCTCTGGGTGGAGGCGGAGACGCTAGTGCTCGACCTACCACCCAGAGAACTAGCCAGGTAATAAACCTTTTCACCCCAAAGAACGTTTTGCCGTCAATTTCTTTGGTCACATTGAGTCCATAGCGAACTTGCCGGGGCTGAAACCCATTGGCAAGACAGATGTTTATTTAAAATCATGGATAATTGTCAAGTTAAAATTCAATTATGATTAATGAGAAATATGCATAAAAATTTGGCCCACACTTGGTTTTTTTCAGTCATTAAAATGACCTCTTTATGCAGCAAGCAATATGCTACATGTGCAGGGTTAAAAGCATATGAGAAATATGAGGATTATATCTAAAGAATTAAAACCTTTACATAAAAATGACAGAAAATATGCCAAAATATTATCCATGGTTCTGTTTTGGGTTTAGGACGACAGGTGACAACTTTAATTAGAATATATTCCTTAAGTAAGTGGAAAAATAAAAAGGCAAAAGGAAGTAATACCGAGTTATCAAATCATAAAGAGGCAAAGAAATGCCTGCCTGCCAACTGTAATGAATATGGAGGGTGGGAGCTCATTGGTAACCTCTGTAGAGAGGCCAATATTAGGTCACTGCTGGGGAATAGTAAAGCCTCACCACCATGGGTAGAGGTGACCGGTGCAGGAAGCAAACAGGCGTATTCTTTCTAGAACTTTGCTAGGAAGGAGGAGTGGGAGAAACTGGCAGAATAAAGCACAGGGTCTGTAAAGTTTTGAGCTGTTTATTTCTTCTTCAGTGGGCAGAATTGCTCATAGAAGGCAGCCAATGGAGGAATAATGGCTGAGCACTGGTGGAGGGAATACTCTCGGGTTGCAGGACGAACACCCCTGTTCCGGGGCAAGGACGAGAGAAGCCTGCCTGGTGAAAACGGGATTAATCATACCACCTGGCCTCAGGAAAGTTAAGGAGCAGGCACTGCACACCAGCACAAGGCCACACTAGGGCCCCACCCCAAGTGGATGGACCCACGTGCACGCCAATCCGGGCTCCCCCCCCACCAGGTGACTGCATCCTCTCCTGCTGCGTCGGCACCCATGCGCCTTCTGTTCTCCGCCGGGGATGCCAGCAGCTCCTTCCCCTGGGCCTCGGCTTAGGGTCTGCATCCCCTTGTCTTCCACACAGAATGTGGGCGCTGGAAAGACTCTCACGGGATCTAACTTTCTTTTTCCATCAGGCAAAATACACTGTGGGACCCCTGGAAGGTTAACTTGACCCCCTGCCTCCATTTTGTGTCCTCCATCTTGAATAACTTAGCTTGACCCCCTGCCTCCATTTTGTGTCCTCTATCTTGAATAACTTAGCTTGACCCCCTGCCTCCATCTTGTGTCCTCCATCTTGAATAACTTAGCTTGACCCCCTGCCTCCATCTTGTGTCCTCCATCTTGAATAACTTAGCTTGACCCCCTGCCTCCATCTTGTGTCCTCCATCTTGAATAACTTAGCTTGACCCCCTGCCTCCATCTTGTGTCCTCCATCTTGAATAACTTAGCTTGACCCCCTGCCTCCATCTTGTGTCCTCCATCTTGAATAACTTAGCTTGACCCCCTGCCTCCATCTTGTGTCCTCCATCTTGAATAACTTAGCTTGACGCCCTGCCTCCATTTTGTTCTGTGTCTTCCATCTTGAGTAAGAAGTTTCCTGCTCAAGCCACGCCCATTACCATGGAAACCATGCCCAGCAACCTGTGCAACAAGACCCTGCTCCTCAGCCAATCAGCTAAGGTCACAATGAACCACCCCCTTGGAAAGCCCCTACCTGTCTTTCCAAAAGTATAAAAGCAAAAAGAGAACTTTGTTCAGGGTCTCAGATTGAGTCCTGTGTTTTGACGGGCCACTGAGACCCTAGTTCGAACTAGCAATAAAGACCTATTTTGTTCTTGCATCTTGCGACTGAGCCTGGTGACTGCGGCTCCACACTGGGGACTCAAGGAAACGGGGCACAACACCACCAGAGAAGAAGAGGGTCATTCCATACCTTGGGTCACAGTGGGCATCGGTGGCGAAGGTTAATTCCCAGTTCAGAAAGCCACGAATCAAAGAGGGAAGTGAGACCATGAAACTAACAACTCAACAGATACTGCAGTTCTGAGCAGGGGAACTTGCTATTCGGCCCTTTACGCCTAGCCTCCCTGCTGTGCTGCCAGCGGAACCAACCCGGGCGGAGAGCCTTCGGCTGGCCGGTGAGTGTCTCCTGCCGTTGGCTGGCCCTGAAGTGCTCCCACGTCCTGCCAGACCGCCCACTCCTCCACCAGCCACTGCTCTTGGAAGTTATATCGTTCAGTATAGGATCCTCGAAGTGCAGCACACCAGGAGATGCACAGCCTCCTTTCTTTCCTGATAAACAAAAACGTGTGGAAGAGGCGTTCTGGGAGTTGGACCTGGCTTAGGATGACCTTTCCCAGACTGGCTGACTCCCCTATAAGCAGCATCCCGTTACTCATTCACCCAGTAATCCCAATACTCATTGAGCACCTACTTCATGCCTGGTGATTTTCTGGGCCCTTTCTAGCAGGAAACAAAACATCTAAAGTTTTGCTTACCCCCAACTCCCACCCCCAACACACAAACACACACCTCCCATGGAGCTTACATTGTATTGAAGGAGCACTGATAATGAACTGTAGTCTATCAGGTGGTGATCATTGCTACGGAGAAAAACAGAACGGGGAAAGGGATCTAATGCTGGGAGTAGGGGATAGGGGGTGAGAAGTGTTCGAATCAAATCAAGTATTATGGTGAGACAGGAAAAAGACAGTGGTAGCCCTGTCTACTTAGAGCCCAGTAAGTGGCCTCAGGAAAGAACAAAAGCGGAAGTTTACTGAGGGCCTCAGGAATATACAAGAACAGGATGTCTGTGGTGGGAACGCCCTTGTTTTGTTTGTTTTCTGCTGCAGTAAGGATCCCAGGAGCATGCCAAATTTGGAAATACAATTTTCGATAAGACTGGTCAAAACAAGGAACAACATTCCAGCGGGAACCAACAGAAATTAGACAATTCAGCTAAGTCTGAGATATGTACCCCTGGACACAGTCCAGACAGGGGCTCTCTTGTCCGCCCCAAGGGTGCCTGGGAGTTCTGCACTATTGCTTTCTAAATAAAAGCCTTTTTTCCTGCTTGCCTACCTTGAGCTTTTGCAAAGTTCATTCTTCGACTCTGTGAACAAGAACCCATGTCATGGGTCACCATGACTGTGTTAATATGTTGATAGTGCAATTTCGTCCAAATCCCACATGACTAGAATTGCTATTGTGTGAATTTATGATCTTGGCCCCTAAAGATAGGGATCTCAAAGCTAGCTTAGACCCTAAGAGGCCCAGCAGCTTCAGGATTAGGATTGTCTCTCAGATGAGAGACCTCTGGGTCAAACAGGTAAATGTGTGTCCTCTTAGGATGACTTCATTTTTTCCAGATTCTCCATTCTAAGAACCTTTTCCTATTGACCTTGCTTCCTTGACAGCAGCAATATTTGGGAGATTTTAGAGTTGTCTATAATAGCACATAAAGTAGCATTTCTCCAGCTGGAATCTTCATGGACAGCTTTAAACCATACTGGCAAAGTAGGAGCCATTACTCATCAGCATTAAGCAACTGTATACTCTAGGCAAATGATACAAAGGGCTCAGGCATCCTCGTTAGCAAGATGGACCCAACAATCTCAACCACAGTCAGAAATCAGCCCTAGATTGTAAAAAGTCATGTAAAAACTATCTCAAGAGGATAACTAACCAACACTATAGAGGTGAGAGAAAACAATGTAAACTCTCTTGGTCTGGTTCAGTTTACTGTATTGTTTATGTAACAGCCATTTAAGTGATGTGTTGAATATTATGTTCACAAGTACATCTTAAGAGAGGCTACAAATGTCACAATTTGGTTCTAAATGTCTTGGTTCTAAGCCCATTTTTCTAACATGCTTACAAAACCCATGAAATAGAACATACTTATACCACAAAAAATAAAAAAACTAAGATTTAAAATAACAAACTTTTAGAAGCTGAGGGTCCCAAACTGTATTTTAGTAAATGGGAATTAGACTTTTTATTTTTATTTATTTATTTTTAAAAATTTTATTTTGGTATCATTAATCTACAATTACATGAAGGACATTATGTTTACTAGGCTCCCCCCTTCACCAAGTCCCCGTTCACTGTTACTGTCCATCAACATAGGGAATTAGACTTTTTTGTTTAGTTTACATATACATGACCATATGCTCAAGTTTTACAATATCATAGATTTTAGTGCAGTATTTTTTGTTTCTTTTCCCTTTTGATTTAGCTCTTCCCTGGAAAGCAACCCTCATGAGGAAGGATATTGCCTGCCCCATACTGCATTGCCATTAAAGAAAACTGTTTCATCTTTTCCTTATTACTTTTGCTAAAATTAAATTTTTCAGGCCTTTTTTTCTTAAAATGCTAATAGAATGAAAATGTGAGACTTCTTAAGTAACTACCAGTGCTCATTCTTACTGCTCAATATCTGCGCTTTCAGGATTTCTACTATCAACTGTAACTATTTAACCATATTAAAATCTGCATTTTATAGATGAGAAAACAGCGTGAAAGATTAAATGACTTGCCCAACATCTCTAAAGTCAGTTATGTCGATACCAAAGCCCGAGCTCTTAAACGCTAGGTCATATCATCTCTGAATGTTTCAGCCAGGGAGATAGGGGTTCATACACAATGATTTTCAACATGTAGTCTTCGGCGTACTAAGAAATTCTGATGCTCATTTAGCCGTGGGGATCAGAAGGGGAGGCCTTGGACTGCCCACTCCTGCTAAACATTGAACTGTAAATACGTAGTTAACATTTATATAGTACTTCCTAGGTGTCCTGACTGGTTTAAGCATTTTGGCTGCACTCAGTTAATTCTAACGAGTCTGTGAAATAATTACTGTTATGCCTGTTCTAAAAGTGAGGAAGCTGACACAAAAAGGTTGTCATTCTGCTAAGGTCACATCACGGTAAGTGGTGTAGTCAGATTAGAATCCAAGAAGTTCCTTGCTTGCAAAGACTGTCCAACAATATTGGCTACAATATTGTTGACTACTACGGAACCAGCCCGTTTGAAGGAAAATGCTTAAGGAAAGGAAAACATTTTCCTAAGATAACACACCAGAACTCCGAGACCAGACTCCCTCCCACGACTCAACCTTGGTCCCAGCTTGCGTTTCCGACTCTGCCTGGAGTCTCCAGAGCTCAGGAATTGGCAGAAAGTGAGGGAAGAAGAAATCCCAACCCGACTCGACACGACCAGAGCAGCGCGTCTGCAGGAGCGACAAGGATACCGTGAACAGGAATTTGAAAGGTCCTCTTGGCTGTGTGACTCCAAACTCGAGTTTGGATGATCTTAGGGCCAGAGCTAGGGGGTTGCCCAATCCGCCGAGAGCGCGGGACAGCGGGCGCAACCACTCCTTGCCCTCAAAGGCAACCTGACAGCAAGGGTTTCCCCAGATTCCTGTTGGGGGGTTCCGCTGTGGCGAGTTGTCAGGGTTCCAGAATTCTCCCTGGCAGGCGGCTCATTTCCTTGAATCCCAGCTTCCCAGGGGCCCTAAAAGCACCTAGAATCGTGCTGCTCATTACTACGGGGTAACTCCGCCCTAACCTCGACTCGGAGCGTTGAACAGCACAGCGATCCGGCCACGGAGCACCGGCTACTGAGCGCAGGATCTTCCTGGCCAATCAGGAGCCACGTCCTCCCGCGCTCCCTTCCAGCCCCGCCCCTCCCGTCTCCGTGGAAACGCTCCGAGCGCCTACAGCTAGGCCTCCTAGGCCCGTGGCAGCCATTGTGTAGACGGAGTGTTTCCGCCGGTCCCTGTTCCACCAAGAGACTCCATAAATGACTCGGACTCTCGGGAGCACCGATCCAAAAGCGGACAAGGGCGGCGAGGGCTGAGGCTGAAGAGAGTGACCGAAAGGGGAGGGTCCGAGGCCGAGAAGCGCCTCCGGTTTAGAAATCCCGGAGACACCAGTGTAGGTGGGGCCTTAATAGCCGCCTTCCCCCGTGTTTAAACTGAATGAGGATAAGGAAGGAGGAGGAGAGAGGCCGCTTGGGCCTTGGAGGCAGTACTCGGGGTCGCGAAGTGTTGGGGCGGAGCTCGGATCGGGGGTCTGGACGCGGAACGGAGGCCGCACGTCTTGAGAGGAGGAGCAGAGCCCCCGCGAACGCGTGGCCCTGAGGCTCGCAGATCCTGCTCCTCGAGAACCGTTTGTACGTCTGAAACCGGACCTTAGGGCAGCCCCTGGCACGTTGGGGAAGCCCAAACCTGCCTGCTCTTGGGACACCCATGAATCGTTTTTCTCTTTAGAGAAAGAGCCCTCTTGACTTTATATGATTTTCCCCAGGGACCTGTGATCAGCAAGGCAGGGCCAGCGTGGCACAGGCCCATGCCCCCATTTTACAGGTGAGGAAAGTGAGGCCCAGGGAAATCTAGAAGTTTGATGTTTCCCACATTCTACAAGTGGTTGGTGACAGAGTTGAGGCTATGATCAGGTCCTGAGAGCTCAAGATCTAGGATCCTTCTCTGACTCTAGGGTCTCTGCTAATATATCCAGTAGTTCTATTGTAACAAGTAGAACAGGGCAATGGAATTATCTACTTAACTGATTTAACAAAATAAGAAAAATGCTTTAAGAATAGAAACTAAGTGTCCTGCTACTCTATGATTTTATTGTTCTTGTTAATAATAGACTGGGAAAGCCTTGAGGCTCAGAGAGGTTAAGTTACGTAGCGTCTTCATCCCTGGAGGAACTGAGATCAAATTCTGTGTTTTCATACCCAAATTAGAACTATACCTTTGAAGTTTCTAAAGGGTCAGAAATAAGGTCCTGGGTGCCAGTCTTCTTAACTCTATATGGTCCTTGAAAGGGAATAAAAGGGTTCTTGGATTTTTCTGACTTCCTTCTAGGAGATTTGGGGGTCATACCCAGTTCCTATGTGGCAATTGTAGTGAGTTTGGGAATTTCAGTCATGCCCAGTGTTTCCTCCTTTCTTCTCCCTCAGCTCAGCCTCCTCAACAGTCTACCCTTCTGCAAAAGAGCACAAGGAAGGAATGCTCAGTATTTTCCTCACAGTCTGATCCCAGGTAAGATTGCCTTGCCTCATTTATAAAGTGGCCCTGAATTCTCCATGGGGAGGGGGGCCCAGTCGAAGTGGCAATGGGGACAGATGGACCAGATGGAGTAGAAAATGTTTCTTGCTTGCCCCAGGAGCATCTAAGCCTCCTATGCAACAGGCCCCTGCCTCCCACCCAGTGTCTTTTCCCAGCATTTACTCATTCAGTCAGCCAGCCAGTCACTTGAGTCTGCAATATAATTTGTACTGTTCTTGATGCTCTAAAATAAATATAAGAATGTCTTTTCTTAACATTGGGGAAATAAACTGTATGAGATTAATAAAAATTTCTCAAGTTATCACATATTAAGCAGTGCCAGAATGAATGGTACTTAAGCAGCAAGAACAGGAACTCATATTTAAGTAATCATTATGACTAGAAGATATCATTCCAGACAGAAAGACCATCATTTAGTATCAGGCAGAAGAATTTGCGCAAATATGGACAGTAGGCTAGTTGAAGTAGAGTGTAAATATGAGTGTATAACATGAGGCCTACTCAGTGCCCTGCATACTACCCAGGGCAGTCATTATTGACATCTGGATGTATTTACTTAGTTTTTTATCTAATACTTAATATACATACATACACACTAATATGCACAAACTAATATGTATGCAAATATATGCACATACATACAAATATACACCCATAAGTTTATCTGTACATGTATGTAGAGAGATTGATATGTGTAGAAATAATATGAATTATGACAAATAGGGTCCATTGGAGCATGGAATGTTCCCAGAATATAGACATGTTCCTGGCATGTAGTAAGCACTCAGTATTTGTTGAATGAATGGCTGTTATATATATAATTTTGTCATTTTACTTATAAGGAATATTTTTTCAAGTATTTTTGGTAGCATGTGTTTTAATGACTATATAGTGTTCCATTCTATGAACATATGCTTTATTTAAATTTTTTTTTAGGAAAAACATAAGTAATTCCCAGTATTTTGCTGTTATAAACAACTTGTAATAAATATTCTTATAACTTATTAAGTGTATTTCTCTTTATTTCCTCAAGATATGCTCTGGGAAACATAACAGAGTCTGGGAAACAGGGGCAAAGAATATAAAGATGTTTTAGGCTTTTGAAAAACTTAAGAGTTCTTTTTTAGAAATACTACATGAACTACCTTCTACAACCATTTCATGAAAGATCCTATCCTGAACCTTTATCATCTGAGTATTGTCTTTAAAATTTTGCCTTGAATTGCATTCCTTCAGTCTTAGTAATGTTGACCATTTTTACATATATTTATTAGTCACTTGTATTCCTTCTTTGATATACATAATGTGTGTATGCCTCTTGACATGTTATTTTTTCTATGGAATTTTTTGTCTCCATGTGATAAAAGGTACTCGTTGTATGTAAAAGATATAAAGCATGTGTTAGATGCTATATTTCCCTGACTTTATCACTTGCCTTTTACTTTTAAGGACTTACATGTTTATATGTTTTAAATTTTCATAAAGTGAAATAATTTCTTTTTATTTATGTAGTTTTATGCTTTGAAAGCTCTTCTTCCCAAAATCCAATACATAATCACTTTTATTTTCCACAATTATTTTTTATAGTTTCAAATATTTTAAAAGTTTAACTCTGAAACCTATCAGGTATTCATTTTGATTTGAGAAATGACAGGAAAACAAAAACGTTTCTTCCCACTTTATTTTTCTAGTAACATTTGCATTCTCCTTTGATTGTGATGCTACCTTTTCATATACCAAATTACTAAATTGTATATACACACACACACCTATATATATATATATATATGCAAATATACCCACAGATCACTTTTGGGTCTGTCCTGTTTCATGGACCCATTTCTAAATTCTTCTACTGGTATCAAAGTGTAGTTTTGTTCCTTTATAAGTAGTGCATTTAATGGGCAATGAAAAGGACTTTACCTTCCTTTTTCACTAAATGAAGATAAGGAAAAGGAAATAAGACGGTTCATATATCGGGAATATTCCGAAGAACACTGTTTTTTTTTGTTTTGGAGAAAAGCAAGTAGAAGTTATTTACAATAAGTTTTAAATGTTGAATATATTAATTTTTCAGTATGTTTTATTAGTATAGCATATTGGTCAAAATACAGGCTCTGGACCCAGTGCCTAAGCTTGCTTCATGCATTTAAGATTTCTTAGTTATGTGAAATAGATTGAACTACTTAACCAGTATCTCATCTCTGAAATTTGGAAATAGAACCTACTATAGAGGGTTGTCAAGAAGGCTAATAACGTCATACATGTAAAAAAACATTGCACAGTGCTTGACAAATAGAACTCAATAACAATTGGTTGCTATTGTATTATTTAAAATATAATGTATATCTGATATAACTGTAGTCACTAAGACCTAAGAATTGAAGCAGGGAATCTAGCCTGTTTTTAAAATTTTTTTTTTTCCAAATGGCTAGTCAGTTGTCCCAGCATCATTAAATAAGCCATCTTTTCCCCATGAATTTGTTATCAATTTTGTCACATTTAGAATTCACTGCTGTATTGGGGTCCATTTCCAGATCTCTAGTCTTTTCCACTGTTGATCTTCTCTATGCCTGTGTTAACCTCATGGTATTATAATTACAGGGGCCTCATTAAAGTTTAACATACCATTGGGTTTAATCTCCCCTCATTATTCCTTTTTAGCACTTTTCCTTTTTCTTACAAATGCACTTGAAAATCAGCTTGTTAGTATCATTGAAAATATAGGTAACTTTGGTGAGAACAAAATTAAATTTCCCCTAAGTTTAACGAGTGTTTTCTTAAATTCTGATGCTATTCTTATATAGGGTCTTTGTCTGTTTGTTAAGCTTATTTTTAGGAATTTATATTTTTTAATCGCCATGTGCTATTTTAAAAACTGATTATTATATGTCTGAACTTTTTCTAAATTATGTAATTGGATTTTACATGTTAATTAATTTGAACTTTTGTTGTGATATATTACATAAATGCAAAGAATATTAACACTTCTTTGTACAATTTAAAATACAGTAAAACATAGATACCACCATCTAGACCAGCAAATGATTTTAAAAACTCCCTGATGACCCCACAATTTCATTCCCTCCTCTCCTAGAGAGGCAACTGTTAATTTTAAATGTTGTGGCTATTAATCCTTAGCTTTGTGGGTTAATAAGTAGTTTTAACACCTATGTCTGCATCTCTATACAAAATTGTTTAGTTTTGCCTATTTTTGAACATTACATAAATGGAACCTCTATATATTCTTCAGTGAATGGCTTCTTTGGCATAGTGTCAGATTTTTAGTGTGCATCCATGTTGATTCATGTAATTGTAGTTCATTTTCACTGCTGTGTACTATTTTTCAGTATGAAAAAGAACTTAGGTATCTATTCTACCATCTTTGGGCTTTTGGATTGTTTCCAGTTTTTTCTATTACAGCAGTTATACTCTAAATATTGTTGTACATATCTTCCGGTATACATGTGTAAGTTTCTCTAGGTACAAGCCTAGTATTACAATTTCTAGGACATGGAATTCTCTTATAATTGCTAATAATTTTCAGTTGATTTTCTTGAGTTTCCCAGATACACAGTCAAACCCTTTACAGATAATTTTGTCTACTTGCACTGGCAAGTGCTTTCATAGCAGTGATTTAAAAATAATGAATTTGTAATATCCTTGTTGAGTTTCCAGTTTCAATGAGAATGTCTTTAATGTTTTGGATTTCAGATTTTAAATTCATCTTATTTCTGCTTTGCTAACTTGTTTTATTTGTAGTTCTAAATGAAGGATCCATGCTGAATTTTAAGAAGTACCTGTTTGGCAGTACAATATGGAACTTCTTAACAGACATTATTAGTATTGCTTATAGTTATTAGATTTTCTCACTGGAATCTTTCTTTACCTTTTCCAATAAACCACCAGTCTATCATGCCAATATGCTTTAATGTGGTAGCAGATTGCATTTTTTAAAGATGGTCATACCTAGCATTTCTCCTATCTTCATGCTCTTCTTAAAATGTAACTTAACACCTTTCCCACCAAAAGGTGGGATCTGTGCCCCTTCCTCTCAACTCTGGCTAGGGCTTGTGATTGCTTCAGCTGGTGGAGTACAGAGGAAGTGATGCCATGTGACTTCCCAAACTAAGTCATAGAAAGGGTACAGCTTTGGCTTGGCTTCATGTTAGCCCAGGCACCATGACCAAGTGGAAAGAAACTGAGACCTTCCATCAACAGTCACAGCCAACCTGCCAGCCCTGTGAGTGTGCTGTCCTGGAAGTGAATCCTCCAGCCCAGTCAGGCCTTCAGATAACTGCTGCTCTAGTGAACAACTTGAGCAATCTCAGGAGAGGTCCGAGATAGGCCTGCCCCACCAAGCAACTCCTGAATTTCTGACCCAGAGAAATCATGAAAGAGAATAATTATTTTGTTTTAAGCCACTAAGTTTTGGAGTAACTAGCTCTATGGCAGTATATTATGAATATAGGTGTGTTGATGGATTTTACTGGCCTTGTATTTTATTTCTGAAGTTGATATAAACATTGATTAGTAATATAGATTTATAGTTTACTGACTTTTGCTGTCTCAGTATTTTCCTGAATTTCTTAAAAATTTTGATGGTTTTTCAGTATGCCTGGGAACAATTTAATAACTTCAAATAATCTGTTCTTTGAAAATCTGAAGAATTAATTTGAGAAAAGTATTGGGTCAGTTATTTTTGAAGGTTATAATTCTTTGATAACTTGAGCAGTTTCTTTAATAGTGTCTGATCTGTTCAGCATTTTTCATTTTAGCATCTCCTAAACCACATGTTGAATTTTATTTTTTTAATCTAGGATTCTGTGTCTTCTAATCTGTGAGATTAAGCCACTTACATTATTAGAATTTCAGTTACATTATTTTTATCATCTTCTCTCCCCACTCTCTTCCCATTTTCTGTTTTCCTTTGGAACAGGTTGTCTTTGGGTTTTGTTTTGTTTTTATAGATTCTATTTTGGTTCTTATTGTGGTTGCCCTTACCTTGAAACCCATGTTGACTCCTAAACTTAATATCTAGGCCATTACTCTAAAAAGTCAACTGCTTTAGCACACTCTATGTCCCTTTCTCTCTGTCTCTCCCTCATCATATTTGTGTTACCAAGAATTATGGTTCAAGATAGGAATAGATGATACCCTTTTTCATTTTTATCCTAGGCTTTTTTGTTTGCTTGTTTTTGTTCTGTTTTATGGAAATAAGCTTTACCAACGTACTTGATCACCTTCCTTATCATATCTCATACAGCCTTTACTGGATTTATTTCTCTTCTTAATTGACTTGTTAAAGAAGTAGAGAGGTGAGAGTATGCATTTAAAAACATACTTAAATTAAGTACTAGAAGAATAAACATTACATGTATGAAATCAAATTCACAGAGAAAAGTGGAGATGGAAAGGAATTAAGAAATAAAGCCTGTCTAAAAGGTGGCAGGAAAGGATGGAGGAAATAATTTTAAAAAATAGAAAGATTTTAGAAATAAGTCCAAATATATCAGTAATCACAATAAATTAACATAGATAATATGTTATACATAAAATACAGTCATACAGCTTGGATGAAAAAACATCTTGCTCTATGCTGTTTATAATGTCTCTTCTAAGCAGTATGCTTCTGTATTTTGAAACTTTTTGTAATCTTTTCTCTATTAACAGACTTTCTTGTCATCTTAATTTTATTAACTGCCTTTTTTCCTCTAAAGAACTATTATACCTATTAATTTTGAGTGCAGGTGTCCTGTTTTTAATTTTTTTAGTGGGAGAAAATATTTGCAACACGTTTTAAAAAAAAATTTCAAGGGAAGGCTTACAGTGTATTTTAGTAAACTGAAATTCACATGCCTGGTAATTCTACTTCTGGAAATTGATCTTCTAGAAATATTACATGTGAGCATTCAGTGATATATTTAAGAGAATTATTCACTGCTGTATTGTGATAGCCAGAAAATGGAAATAATCTTAATGACCACCAGTATGGAAACAGTTAAACCTTGGAACATCATAAAGTGAAATGCAATGCAACATTTACCATAACAGTCATCTACAGCTGCATAATAAATTAACAGCTAAAAATAACAAGCATTGATTTCTCACTCAGTTTCTAAGGGTCAGTTACCTTGGAGCAGTGAAGCTGGGTGGTTCTGACTGGGTCTCTCATGAGGTTGCAGTCAGGCCGTCCGCAGGTCTGCAGCCATTGGAAAGCTTCACTGGGGCTAGAGGGTGCGCTGCTAAGACGGTTCGCTCACATGGCTGTTGGCAGGATGCCTCATTTCTCACTGAGGAAGGCAGGCCTTGCTGCCTCACCACACAGGCCTCTCCACAGGGCTACCTAAGTGTTCTCACCACATGGCTGGTAGTTTCTCCAAGAGGGATTAACACAAGAAAGGGAGTAGGAAACTATGAGGTAGTCCCCACAGTTGCACAGTATTTCACCCACTTCTGCTTTTTTATCTGTTCATCAGAAGTGAGTCTGTAAGTCTAGCCCACATTTAAGAAGTGGGGAACGAGGCTCCACCTCTTGAAAGGAAGAGTATCAAATAATGGATGTATTTTAAAACCACCGCAAACAGAATAGGTCGATCATGTACTGAAATGGGAAGTTGTACACTATATATTATTTGAAAAAGCAAACTGCTATCATGTCTCTGTTAAGAAAATACATCAGTAGGGTATGTATGTCTGTGAATGAGAAAAGGTCACAAAGGACACAGTGAAACTACAGTGGCTATTTCTAAAGTTACTTGGGGAGGGTAGGCTTTCCATTTTTACTTATATTACTTCAGTATTTAAATTTTTTATGAACTTATTTTCAGTAAAGAGACTAGCTTAATTTCTAGTATTAAAAAAATAAATTACTAATCTTTGAAATAAATAACCAAAGGTAATACAGACTGGGTTTTATTTTTCTGTACTTTTTACAAAATGAGGGACCAATTAACATTTTTTTTCCATACTGACACTAGTTTTCAGTCCTGTAGTCTGTTTCTGAGCATTCATTTATGTTAAAGTAGACTTACTATATTTAAAAATATTAACACATATATTTTATAAACATTCAGAAATAAGCAGTGCCGAATTTTCTTTCTTGAGTCCTTATTTGTGATTAGTATTTCATTGGTTAGGCAAGGATTTTCATGTAGTTTAATTGGAAAACAGTACCTGGGTGGTGTATGTTGAATCCCTGACCATTTCAGTACATCTTCCTTTTGCCCTTCTATGTTAACACAATATGGACGTATGTGGAAATCTTGATTTACAACCCTTTACCCAGTTGTTCTGGATTTCTCTCACTTTGACTTAGCAGATAGGCCTGGGTTTTAAAAACTGCTACTTTGTAACTACATGACCTTATATAAATTATTTACTTAATTTTGCTGAATGTTAGTTTCCTCACGCCTTTAGTGTTGATATACCTATTTGATAGGATTGTTGTGATAGTAAATAAGATAAGATAGCCCTGTTCACATAATTGCTTAATAATATTTAAGTTGCTGCTCTGATTATAATGATACAATGATGATGATATTAGAGTTTTCTTTCATTCTATGGTAAATGCCTTAAAAATATCTATTTCCTTTATTCTTAGTATTTACAGAACATTTTAAATTAAACTTTAGAATTGACGATATGTTATCAAAGAAATTAAGGGAATTTGTCACATAACCAACTTATGATCTGTTCCTTCCACTAAAGTATTTTTAGGCAGTTTGAATACATGCACTTATCTCTTCTCTGATAATAAAAAATTTTTTTTAAATTATAAACTTGCAATGATGAAGTGACAAGCCATCAGCAAATAAGAAATTTCAACAAAAACTTGGAAGGCAACACGAGGAATAGTGGTAAGAACCACATAAGGCTAGAGATACTACATCCTAGAATGTTCAACAGAGAAATATAGACAAGAAAGGAACTGATGAACCCTATGAACTTCAGAGAGACTAAGGATGCATCCATACTATCTGAGGCTAGAGCTATGCAAAAAAGAGCATCCTAATATTTCCATAGAGAAAAGAAGAAGTTGCCAACAAAGAAATTAAAGTTAAAAAAGAATCAGTTTTAGGAGCAACACTGAAGGCCTATAAACAGTGGAGCAATTCCGAGAAAAATTATTTTCACTCCAGAAATCCATACCCAGCCACTTGTGAATAATAATAAAGATTTAAGGCACATAGTGATTCAAATGGTTCCTGGGAATTTTTTCAGTAACCGTGCTTGGAGATTTTCCTTTAAACCACATATGTGTTAAAGAAAACCTTGCCTGTTTCTCAACTTTGCTCTTTTCACTGGCCATGGACTAACTTTCACAGGCTTGACTGAATTCATTTGGGGTCATTTATGGAGTAAATCACAAAAGAGGAACAGTTATAAAATTTTGAAAATGGAGCACTAAAGAGTACTCAGCCCAGATTGGAGAAGGAAGGTGAATATTTCCCAAATAAAAGGGATGAGGGGAAATGAGACACTTGATAAAATAGAGAGTCTTTCAAAATAATTAAGGATTTGAGGACAGTAAAATTATTAAGTAGAACTAGGAATCCTCCCAAACTGTATACAATTAATTTCAGAATTATGTAAGCACTGCTTATTGAGTTAATGATAAACAGAATGATGAATAGAGGTATGGGATAGGATCAGGGGTAGGGTCTAATTCCTTATCTCATAGTAGGAAGTAAGGAGTTCAGTCGTGATCAGTATCAAAAAAGATAAATCATGAAGCATACTACAAGCAAAATTAAGCAATATTGTTACAGTTGGCAAATGGTTCTGGTCAGATGTAGACCTGGGTCCTTGCTGTGTTACCTTCTAGGTCCATGATCTTGGGAATTAATGTTTTTCAACCATTATTTACTAATTTTTAAAATGGGAATAATAGTGTCTACACATAAGACAGCTGTGAGGATTATTTGAAGCATATGTGAAGTACTTAGCCCAGTGGTTAACAAATGCTATATGAATGTTCCTTATGATGGTTGTGGTATTCAATGACTGGATACATTATTTAGCTATTTGACGACCATTATTATGTCCCTACTTTTCTTATTTTTCTTCATTATTGAAGTTCTTTTTCTATTTGACTTGTCACTTATGTTACTTGATGAATGTCTATTTCTTTGTTCTTTTTCTCACCTAGATTTCTTCTTCCCAGAAAGCCTATCTTTGACCAGATGGCAGTTACATTTGAAGATGTCACTGTTACTTTTACTTGGGAGGAGTGGAAATTCCTGGATTATTCTCAAAAAAAGCTCTACAGAGAGGTCATGTGGGAGAACTACACAAATGTCATGTCAGTAGGTAAAGTTATCCCAGCTCTTAGGGAGTAGAATTAGTTTCTTCTGGGACTGGTTTTTTGAGTTTTTGGTTGTTTATCTGGGTCTTATACTAAAGTAGAAGAACTTTTCTCAAAAATGTGTTTTAAATCAAATGACAAATATGAGGTAAACAAAGCAAGACATCTTCCAAGACACCTAGGCTATGTAATTAATAGGTACTTGTGATTATTATTGCATATTTTCTGGATTACAACTAAAGCACAGATTACACATAATTTTTTGTGGTTCTATATCTGTTCTCTCTTCATACTATTTGTACTTTATTTTTGCTGTATAACAAACTATCCAAAGTTAGTGATTTTAAACAAACATTATTTTTTATGAGTCCAATTGGTTACGTGGATGTACTGTAATGGAGTGACCTGGCTGGGGCTGGATGGTCTAAGGTAAGGCTGGACAGCCTGACTTACAGGCCTGGCAGTTGGTCTGTCAATGAGGTTCATAGGGATATGGGGGCCATATGCCCTCTTCAAGCAGGCTAGCCCAGGCTAATTCACATGGGGTAGACAGAGGATTTTTAAAACCAGTAAGAGTGAGGACAAGCCCCAATGAATGAACACTTTTCAAGTCTGCTTGTCACTTTTTTGCTGTTGTCCCAGTGACCAAAGCAAATTATACAGCTGAGCCTTAAGTCTGCATGGAAGGAGAACACCCAAAGATGTAGATAAAGCACAGGCATACCTTGTTGTATACTGTGCTTTATTGTGCCTCACAGACACTGCATTTTTTACAAATTGAAGGTCTGTGGCAACCCTGTTTCGAGCAAGTCTATTGACACCATTTTCTCAATAGCATTTGCTCACTTATGTCTGTGCATCACATTTTGGTAATTCTTACAGTATCTCAAGTTTTTCATTATTATATTTGTTAATGGTAATCTGTAATCAGTGATTATGACTCAGTGAAAGCTTAGATGATGCTTAGCATTTTTTTGCAATAAGTATTTTTAAATTAAGGTATGTACTTTTTTAACCATAATGCTATTGCACACCTAATAGATTCAGTATAGTGTAAACATAACTTTTATATGCACCGAGAGACCAAAAAAACTCATTTGATTTGCTTTATTGTGATACTCACTTTATTGCAGTGGTCTGAAACCAAACTCAAACTACCTCTGAGGTATGCACTATGAGAGTTAATGCAGCTATTTTTTCCCCACACAATCTACCATACTACTATAAAACAAAAATAGAAAAAATATTTTATTTCTTATAATAATACCTCAAATGGCATAATCTAATTAAGCCCCAGTCTTTAAGACTATTTCCATGAAGCAGTCAGCCTTATTCTTATTTCTAACAGTACCTGGTAAGTAGTTGATACTCAAGATACATTTGTGGAATGAATGAATAAGTGAATCAATACATATGTAAATGAACAAACAAATGAATTTCAGACTCAAATATGGAGTAGCCTAAGTCATAACCCTTCATTTCAAACCCACCTGTGCATATGTGCCTATAATCAAGGTCATTGTGGTTGAGATACTTGGAAAGTTTTAAACACAGCCTTCATCTCACCACTGGATTATCTGCCTATTCTTCTAGGAAACTGGAAAGAGAGCTACAGACCCCAAAAAGAAAGATTCACATATTTAGTACATGAAAATCTTTCCTGCTGGCAAGGCTGGAATGCCAGCACTCAGATGTATGAGAATCAAACCTGTGTGCAAACTGTTCAAGGGATAAATTCCAAAGCCCTAAAGCAGCAAGACTTTTCCCACTATCAAAAATGGTTAATACTCTCCACACAGGTATCAGGATATGGAAACTATGAACTGATTGAAGGTAAAAATCCCAGGAACTTAAAATATACAAAGTTTATACCTTGGCATTCCTTAGAAACAAAACATTCTCAAGACTATGGTAGAGAAATTCACATGAGTGATTCACATGGTTTTCAAGGCAGCACATACCTTCTTGGCCTATCCAGGAAAAATCTCTCTCTGGAAAAAGAACAGAAGCTCATAGTTCAGCATTCGTATATCCCAGTTGAAGAAGCCCTCCCAGAGTACATTGGAGAGATGTGCCAGAATGGCCTACTGAAAGACTCTATGGAAGAGAAATACTGTGCATGTGATAAATGTAAAGAAATGTATTATTGGAACTCAGAGGGTATTCTCCACAAGGGAAATCAATTTGGAGAAAAGTTCTATCCATGCTACATCAGCACAGCACACTTCTCTCAGAGATCAGACCTGTACAGACATCCAAGAATTCATGTAGGTAAGAAGCTGTGTGGGTGTGATGAAGTTGATGGTAACTTCAGTCAGAGCTCAGGTGCTCACTTTCATCAGAAAGCCCACCCAGGGGATGGTCCTTTTATATGTAATGTGTGTGGTAAGAGCTTCAGTCAGATCTCTAGTCTTCACAATCATCAAAGAGTCCATACAGAAGAGAAACTCTACAAATTTCAGTGTAATAAGGACATTGGTAGAAATTCATTACTTCACATTCACCAGAGACTTCACATAGGAGAGAAGCCTTTTAAGTGCAATCAGTGTGGTAAGAGTTTTAGTCGGAGTTCGGTACTTCATGTTCATCAAAGAGTCCACACAGGAGAGAAGCCGTATAAGTGTGATGAGTGTGGTAAGGGCTTCAGTCAGAGCTCAAATCTTCGAATTCATCAGTTAGTCCACACAGGCAAAAAGTCCTATAAGTGTGATGACTGCGGTAAGGGCTTTACCCAGCGCTCAAATCTTCAGATTCATCAGAGGGTGCATACAGGAGAGAAGCCTTATAAATGTGACAACTGTGGCAAGCACTTTAGTCACAGCTCAGATCTTCGCATTCATCAGAGGGTCCATACAGGTGAGAAACCCTATACTTGTCATGAATGTGGGAAGGGTTTCAGCAAAAGTTCAAAGCTTCACACTCATCAAAGAGTACATACTGGAGAAAAACCCTATAAATGTGAACAGTGTGGTAAGGGATTTAGTCAGCGTTCACATCTTCTCATTCATCAGCGAGTTCACACAGGAGAAAAACCCTATAAATGTGATGACTGTGGAAAGGGCTTTAGTCATAGCTCTAATCTTCACATTCATCAGAGGGTCCACACAGGAGAGAAGCCCTATCAATGTGCTAGGTGTGGTAAGGGTTTTGGTCATAGTTCGGCCCTTCGAATTCATCAAAGAGTTCACACAGAAGAGAGACCTCATAAATGCCATGAGTATTATAAAGGATTTGATCAGAACTCACATCTTTACAATAATCACAGAAGAGAAAACTTATAATTCCATTCATGTAGTAACAGTATGACTCAAAGCTTAACTTAAAACCCAGTAAGTGCTGCTGGGAAGAAAATTCTATAAATAACCTAAGTAATCCCAGGCAACATTTATAATTTCCCCTAACTCCCAGTAAGAACCATTTGCTTCAAGAGATCCTTAGGAGGATTCCTATATATTTAAAGTATATTTTCTTTTTCTACCATAAATACTATACATAGTTGTCATAAAATCTATGAAAGACTCAGGAGAAAACTCTTCATCCTGTTTCATTTAGTCTTTTATTTCTGTGCATTTTCACATGCATGAAATTATACTGTATGTTCAACTTTCTATTTTACTGACTTGAAAACATTTACTTAAATTTTGGTTTGATTGAGATTGGTTTGCTATCAATGAAAGAGCATCTTGACTCCCCTGTAAATTCCCTAGGAAGCCACAGAAAAAAACATGCAAAAAACCTGAACTCAAACTGGCAGACAATCAACTGCTCAGATATTGCAGGGCTTAACTATAGGGCCAGCAGGACTAAATTGCTTAAAACAAAAGATAAGAAAACACTGTATGACCCTTTATCCAAGATAGGCTATCTGAGAGATTTTATCTCTTTCTACCAGAACACTCAGGAACCATCTTTATCATGCAGGGGTTCTGGGTCAGGTTACCATGATGCACTCTCGCCCATTCTCTGCCCCCGTTTTCTGCATTTATTCTTAGGTCCAGACACCAAGTAACAAGTACAAGATGTAGTTTCTCTAAGGTGTGAAAGACGAGGACAAAAGCTTATAGAAGTGAATGCTAGAAACAACTTATTCTGTCAGTTCGGAATCACACATCCAAGCAGAATCTGATTTAATCTCAGCAGAATGGCAGTGGAGAAATATCTGTTTGAAACAGAACTGAACTCAGAACTATGTGTAAAAATGAACTCTCAAGCTAATTACATAAGAAGAGAGAATTTGGCCATTATAAAAATGGAGTAGAGTCAGTAAGATACATAAGTCCCAACTATTCATATATAAATATGTTTAGATATCACCACTTCCCAAGAGAAAATAAATTAAGTGGGACTGTTTAAGGAAATGAGGGAATTTCAATACCAAAGAAGAGATTATCAGTGTGAAGACTTAGAAACCTATAGCCCTGAAAATTAGCTATTTCAGTCTCCTGGAGAAATTCTCAAAAAAAATGTGGTGTCCCTGAAGTCAATAAAACTAGAGTAGAAATCCATCAGTAGAAACAACACAAGATAAAAATGAAAATAGATATAATGAAGGACTACAGGGAAATAAGTACTGTAACAAAGTAAAAGGCAAGAAGGAGCAGAATTAGCACTGCAGAATATCAAATACAGGAACGAATCAACTAGAGATGCTCTTAAATGTGTAAGAAAAGAATAATGAGATGGAAACAATGAGAGAAAAGACAGATAAGCACAGAGAGTGGAGATCCAATGTAAGAACTAAAGGTTTTTCTAAGGATGATAAAAGAACATTTTGAATAGAATCAATGATCAAGGAAGTTAAGACATTTTTCCTGAGCTAAAAGCATATGCTCACTAGATTTCAGGCAAAACCAGCATAAAGGCAATGCTTAGAAACAACTTAAGAAAAAGATCAACTGAAAGCCTACAGAAAGAAAAATCCTGGTTATAAAACCACTTAAAAGGGAGGATGGCTAAAGACTTCTGGAACAGTAAATATCAAAAGACAATGGAAAACCTTCAGAATTTGAGACAAAAACCTGTTATAACCTACACTTTGTTTTTAATCAACTAAATTGTCTTTTATATGTGCAGGTAACAAATATTCAAGAAAATGAAATATAGCATACAGGTGCCTTAAGAGAGCTCAAAACGGAAAGTCATGGTATAAAAGGACTGGTGATAAGCACTGAATCAGTTAAACTGAACAACTTAATTTGTTTATGAAACTCCAAAACTTTTTAAATAGCTGTACAAGAAAATATTTAACTACAAATGAGTAAAAAAGTAATTATATATAAATGTCTGGGTGAGACAGTAGATAAAATATAGGACAGCCAGTTAAGTTTGCATTTCAGATATACAAGAATAATTTTTTAGTGTATGTCCCAAATACTGCATTGGACTTATACTTAGAAATTATTTGTTTATATGAAATTCAGATTTAACTAAGCATCCTGAGTTTTTACTTGCTAAATCTGGCAACCCTCTGGTGGAAGTTCAGCACAAGAATGTGTGCTACATTTCCAATCTTAAATAGCAGGGACTCATTATGTTTTATTTTTGACTTTAACAACTCAAGAAATAAAAGTCTTAATATATTTTTAACTTAGAAACTCCAACTAATATAACTATAAAAAGTATCTTAAATACAGAGTAGAAAATAAAAGCAAGGAATACTCACTCCCTGTAGCAAAAGACAGGAAAAGAAAAACACATCACAAGAAGATGACCTAAAAAATAACAAGCATCAAGATGAAAAAACCAAATTTATCAAAATAGGTTAAATGACCCATTAAAAAGTTTTGAAAACCCTTGACTGGGTTAAAATTTTACTTATATGCCTCTACAACTGAAAAGATGAAAATGATATTGAGCAATTATTAATTTATTGATATGAAATAGACAAAGGTTTATTAAGCAAACAATATTGCCTATGTTTTTAACAGTGAATTTAAAAATTCATTAATTAAACCCACTAAAGTGAGTAAAATTACAGAAACCAATAGTTTCCTAACTTTTTACAATCATCAGAAAATATGGGTGGAAAAAGTATGGTTTATAGTAACACTGAAATTTCTTAAAAAGGAAGAAAGGTAGAATGAAAATAATGAAAAAACAAAACATTTAATTGAGGAAAATGAAACAGGACTTGAATAGAGTGGTCTCTGAATTTTTTTAGAAGGAATTTTCTAAATTATAGATGTTTCATATTATCAAAATCCCGATGAGATTTGAAATTTAAAAAAGAATTCTAAAATCTTTAGAAAAACAGACATTGGAGAAGAGCAAAAATAATTATGAGGAAGGTAAGTGAGATGGCCTTAACATACAATAAATGATATACTGAGGTTAAGGTAATACAGAACTTGCTTGTGTATTTAAAAGATGTTCAGAATGCTCAGTCACTGAATGACTCAGAAATAGACAAGTGTATGGATTACATATGTACATATGTATGTATAACATTTAGTACATATGTTTATATACTTTACATATGATAAAGATCTACAAATAGGTTTATTCAGTAAACGATACTCAGAAAACTATTTAACTCTGGTGAAATTAGGCTTTCGTCTCATGACCAGCATCATATATATATATTGATCTAATATGATTAAAGCACTTTTCAAGCTGTGTTCCTGAAGCCTGGTGCATCCAAAACAAAAAAACTACAAATTTAACCCCACTATTTATAAAGAACAGAGATCCACTTAAGCTAGCTCATATAAAAAAGTTATATAACAATCTCACACAAGAAAATATGTAAGGAGAGAAGCTTCAACATGGTTACTTGCTCTAGAAAACTTAGATGAGGCTACTCTTTCAGGAACATACTTGTTTCTTTTAAGAGATCTCCAGAGATTCACCTCCTGTTTGCTCACTCAATGTATGCTTATAATTGCTACCACATCCCTGAATATATGTTTTTTCATCTATTGCTCACCACTAACTTGTAATTTCTTTATTCAGATTTCTGAGTAGGAAAAGGTGATTGGCTCAACCTGTCACTACCTCTGAACAAGCCTTTGAGATCGGGCTAAACTCTAGACTGCTGGGAAGCCTTTCACTTGGCTCACTTTGTATCAGATGTTCATTCTGGTCCCTTCGGACATGCCTGGAAATGGGGTAATAAGAAATACAGTTGCTAAAGGCTGGTATTCAAATAGGGCTCCCCAAAAAGGGGTGGGTTGGGCCAAGCATTCTGAACTAACATTAGAACACAAAAATAAATGTTCAAGAAATTTATTGTAATATTTTTGTGTTGCCCTTCCCCCCAAATATGGGAAAGGTCAAATATGATGCATCTATATGGTAAAATGTTATACAATCATTAAAACATATTTTCCAAGAATATTTAATGGTAATATGGGTATTAACTGAAAAGTAAGAGATGTAGAACTGTATATGAGCTAAAATTCTATTTATATATATATTTATATGGCTATTTCCATGGGATATAGGCAAGTGTATGTGGATCTCTCTGATAGGTTGTGTTATGGTTATCTTCATGTTATTCATATTTTCCTGTATTTTTTATATTTTTATTGGTCTTATTTTCATAAAAAATAAAAATCACTTTACAAACAACTTATTTGAAATGTTATGGTTACATGCTATTCCATTGTACAGCTGTACCATAATACTGAATTATCTCTTTTTACCAGGGATTTAGACTTTTTATATCATTAACTGCATTGCCATGTCATTATGAAGTTTCTGTTTTAAGCAATTTTTATAATAATTTTCTATATACAATTACTGGGTTAAAAGATAGGCAGAAGCTATAACTTGTGCAAAGAAATGTAATAATGAAATTACAGGATGTATACAGCCAGCTACAAGCAGCTTGATGTTACCGGAGCATAAAGTATAAAAGTGAGGGGAGAGGTCAGAGGACGGTCAGGCAATGAAGGACTTCCTGTGCCAAGTGCAATAATTTCTGTTGGTCACGGAGAAACATTACAGAATCTTAAAGCAGCAACACTATCATTTTGAAAAGAAGACTTTAACAGCAGTGGCAGACTGGATATGTTGTAGAGTGAGGAAAAGAGAGTGAGCAGGAATGGAGGTCACAAGTCCATATAGTAGACAGTTAGGTGGTGTCAGTGTTTTGTTTGTAGGAAGCAATTTTTAATCATTGGGGTTTCTTTTCCCCATAGTATGTTCACTAGAGTAAATCTGGAAAACATATTCACTAAAAAAAGGTTACAGGTAGTATGAAAAGCCATTGGAGGGTGTTAAGTGACATGATCTAACTTTAAATTTTAACAGGGTCATTCTGAAGGCTGTATTAAGAATGGAATGGAAGGTAGAGGCTAGAGCCAAAGCAGGGATTCCAGTCAGGAGGTATTGCAGTAATGCCTAAGAGAGATATGGTGTTGACCTGAGCTACCAGTGGAGGTGAGAGAAATAACCAAATTTTGGATATATTTTGAGTATGATGAATATAACAGAAGCTAGTTTTAAAATTGGACTTTAGATAGTATATT